ACTACACCACCGGTGCCGGCTAAAAAACCAACATCTGAAACGTCACAATTCCAGTGTGAACTGCAAAAATGGCGTGACTGAATTGTCCTATTTTTATCAAATGGAATTATTTTCCCTTTTATGCCATATAAATGGTTGACTTCGTGGTAGAAAATCAGAAAATAATATTTTATGAGTCCTAAGTTTATTTTTCACAAAATGTAAGCAAAAATATTAAGAATATCCATAATATCAGTAACGCCTTTTTTGAAATTCTGGCTTGAATCTTCTATTTGTTTACACATTATGAGCTGTTAGTGGGGCCCACAATTAGCGGGCCCGCAGCGATGTTAGCTCTTTTCAAGGCAAGCCAAACAAGATAAGGATGCCACCCAGCTGCCTGGATGCGAGTTATCACCAAGAAAAGATAGAGGTGTGTGATTGTGTGCGTTGGCAGTAGTTTGGATCGCATCAGCGGCAACAACAACAACAACCGCGTCGCGGATTACTAGTGTGCGTGTGCAATTATCGGTCCCGGTGAGAAGAAGTTAGACGAGTGTTGCGTGTGTATTGTTGTTCGTAGTCGTCGTCTTTTTCCCCGAATTTTCACACGACGCGGACTCCCCTGGATCGAGAGAGAAAGAGATAGAGAGAGAGTGAGAGATAGGGAGGAAGAAGAGCACAGCCCGCAGCAATCCATAGTTTATCAATCGAAAAAGTGGTCCCTTTTTCCCTTCGTCCTTGGTGTGTAGTGTCGCGGGCGCGAGTGTGAGTGGTGCTCTTTTTTGTTCTGGCGAAACTGCCACCGATCCAGCCATCCATCTGCCGGAGTAGGATTGCCTGAGCCGAGCACAACAGCTAATAAAATTTAACTCTTGAAATAGCAGAGCAGAGCAACGACTGCAGGCTGCCAACCGAAGAAGAAAGAGAGGAAAGGGGTTCCAATTTTCCATCAACCTGTGCGAGCGGAAGTGACAAAGGATCGCGACAACGAGAGGAAGGATTTAATTTTCTTTTTGTTTTTTTCCGTTCCGGCGCTGATGACGTACGCTGCGGTTTGAGTTTCTGCAAGTTCCGTAGAAAGATGAGCTACCCTACATAGTACACGCCTATATGGGCGCCCAAAATAGTATGCCGCAAGTAAGTATATCACCAAAACAGCTCAAGATCTAGAAATAAAAGCCGATGGCGCTGCAGAGTAATGAGGTAACTTCTACAATGTACTGTAATTTGTTCAATAATACTCATATTACTCATATTACTTTAAACAATCGTCACGTCGGTCATAGCTTGTTATGAGTGCCTGAACAATGCGTAAAGAGCAAATTGAAACATTGAACGCCGCGTGATAGTGGAATTTAATCAAGGCCTAAATATTTTTCGTAGCCTTTTGTTTTCGGATTTGAAAGATCGTCGGTTGCAGTGGCTTGCTTAATGAGCAGAAAAACGCGGTCCCAGGTCCTTTCATATTAAAAATGTATGGTAAGATCACTTGTTTATCGTGTATTTTGTAAAACTTTTCGTTGTCCTCGGTGCCGGGTTTGAATAGTTATAAAAACTTGAGTAACGCTATAATGTGATATGAGGGGCTCGGTGGCCTTAGAGCAACCGGTTTTGCTTAATGAGCAGAACATCATGAGCCTAATCTCAAGCCCATCCACATTCAAGATTCGTCAATCGTTTTATTTGTTAACATGACTACATGGTAATAACAGCAACTCGATGATTAAAAAGGAGCTCGTCTGCCTAGTTCAGTCAGGTTCAATCCCAAGCTCCTTCGCGTTTTACGATTGTTAGGACATCAATTCAGCTTATCGTTTACCAAAACGAACCCTGCTGCAAACCCAACCCTATTATCCAATATCCCAGTGATTCCTCGTGGAAGTGCAGAGGTGTTCAGTATTTACACATTGAAGATGATTGCTAGTCCCAAGCTAGACAGAGTAGCAACCGTGGGCGGTCAATCATGCTCATGCTCCTGCTCATGCTCATAAAGCTCATAACCAATAGTTGAATAGTTTAAACAATGAATTTCGGAAAGGGTGTATGCGTGATCCAGTTTGGAAGACATTGTTGGCTGCTTTAAGAGACATCGCTTCATTTGAATTACTTTTGGTTGAGTCGGTCGTAGATTGTGGTAATGTAAGGGGCACGGTGGCTATAGAGCAACTGTTTTTGCTTAATGAGTAGAGGATCATGGGTTAAAACTCAAGCCTCATTACATTACTAAGTTAATATATCCAGGCCTCTATTGTAGAAAATCGTTAATAACAGGGGGGAACGATTCAGAAAAGTAATAAGTATATTTAGACAAATGTGACGTACGCCTGAATCGGTTCGGAAGACATTGTTAACTACTTTGGATGATTTTATTTTATTGTAATAGCTTCTTGTAACCGATAATGAACGATCGTCGGTCGTAGCTTGTTGTGATGTAAGGAGCACGGTGGCCTTAGAGCGATTGCTTTTGCTTACTGAGCAGAAGATCGTGGGTTAAGCCAAGCCTCTTTACATTACTGAGTTGATAGGGTCGCGTCATTTGCTTAACAGGTTTTAAAAGATCGCATCACTTTCCAATGTGAATCCAGATCTAATTCACCCTTCCCACTAACAAAAACGTCCTTCCCGTGACGACCGTGGAGATGCAGAGATATACTCGGTTTCTAGTAGCAACGGTTGCTGAAATAACAAACCTTTCCCTCCCCGATGACCGTAAGGACGTGGCCGGTGCCGTTATTGACCTAAAAAATATGGATTCTCCGGATTTTATACACTGAGAATGGATTGCCCAAGCCCCATTGACATGATTCTTTGAGCAAATTTGGCTAAATCTGGTCAATCACGGAGTAGCAACTACTGAAACGTATAGTCGTCAATGCTCATGCTCATGCTGCACAAAATGACACAAACATGTTTCAAATATAACGGATCATAGGAAAGTTGGTGCAGGTTAACGCCAAGTTCAGTCTTAATTTAATATTACGTTACATAAGCTATCTTGTTATGACATTTTACTTGTAATATTCTTTTAGTGTGATGATTGATATCATTTAGAAATAAATTGTACATTACGTACGCAGTAAAAGTTGTGAGTGTAACATACATACATACATAAATGATGAGAATATAGTAAATGACTATTTTGATTTAATTTGACATGTGGAAGTTTTTGCTCAGGATACTTGATTAGGTGAGTGGCTATACTATTCGTTTATTGGTATTAAATGAACGTATTAAAAAGGAAAGATTAACATATGACACAAAACGATTAGATGGTCGGAGTGTAAAAGCAGATAAGTACGGAAAGTGCTTAATTCAGATATCCCAAAACTCATCCCAGAGGGATCCCAAGAAAGCTAATTGAGCCATGCGTTTTGCATTGAGCCGATATAGAAAATAGCCTCTCTGAAGGAACACTTGTTACCATTCTTGATAAACAGTCTCGAGCAATGGGATATATACATGGGGATATTCACTATGCATTTTCTCCTATGCTTGAAAAGGATCGACAGAATGTCGGAAAACAGGCTGTTGCAAGAAATTTTGTAATTCTGCCGATATGCCCCCATGGCGATCCTGTTCTGACATAGCAGATGACTGATGAACCTGAAATATGTCATAAGAAGTGAATGTCCATTGCTTGACCTAACACCACCATGGACGGCCCCTCATGTCAATGGCGTATATACAATTTTGCTCAATGTATCGATAACTGCCATTTTCGTATGTTTTGCACGATTGGCACTTGTACTCCTTTCCTTCTAACTCATACAAATAATTAATTATTCATTTCAAATTGCTTAAATCAGGCTTCGAAGGTGACTACAATTAGCGAACTCTGCATACTGAACGACCTTAGTCTCCTGCAATTGTACAAATTCAGACACATAATTTCACCCTTAGGACAAATCTTTGTTAAGCAGTGTAATCGCTACGTAGGATGTGAATTTTTGGTGAAGGTATTCGATTTCAAGAAAGTTCTACTGGAAATTAGTTGAAATTCCAGTAGTTACTGAATGACTCACTATCGCAACGCTATCCTGTCACTTCATTATCGAGCCACGCCACACCATACTGACCAAGAAAAGTGAATGTTGTCTGATCGCACATTTAGTAAAAAGTAACTTGCTGTTATTGGCTGTTGGTATCTAGAATAAAGGTAAAGCAACAGTTCGCGGCCTAAAAACGCCATACTTTTCAACGCTTACTCACACGCCCGTTTATAATAGCACGCAGCAGTTTCGGGGCTTTCAAATCAACCGATGACGGGTGACGGTGACTAGTTTCTAATCTAGCCGTATGAAATATGCGAATAGGGTGTGGGGAACGCTTCTCAGAGGCAAGACATCACGCTGAACCGATAAATCTATCAAAGGCGGCACAAGGATAAGACAGTGTAATTAAATAACCATGGGTTCAATTCACGTACCGGTTTCATAATTGGGTTATTTTGTTAGCTCTAAATTTGTTGTGTTAAAAATTAGAAACTGGACTTTTGATGCCATACACAATCGGATACGGGGTAGATACTGGTAATGCCGGATTTATTTGTATGACCCGCTGTGGTGATTGGAATCGATTGGAACTAGTTCAACAGGTTCTACCAGAGCGGTGATCCATTTTTACACGGGCATGTCATAAAGCCAACTGCCGAGCGGTGCAATATCCTTGAGATTATTAATGATCTTTCGCTTTTCTCTGCGTTTACCGTTTGTTACCTCAGACGAGTGGGTACACGTCGTCGATATTATCCAATAATTGAAATGAGTGGTACCTAGCCTATACGTACACTTGAAATTGATTCAAGAACGATCGAGTGGATCAAACCAGTACTTCGAGCTGATTGAAGATAACTTGACTGTGATGGATGATAATTCAGAATAATCAGTTTGTAAAATCAATTCCCTGACGGAACTATGTAATTTCACGGTACAGATAAATCCAGCATTGACATATTGCCCTTCAGCGAAACTTGACATTTATGCAGCACGATTTGTCTCAATCTTCCAAAGTTCACTCACCAGTAATAACATGTTCTTCATGCTCTTCAAACTTTCGACCTCGTCCTGCAGTAAGGCGTGAAAAGTTCACTGGTTGACACTGCTCTAGATTGCCACTATCTCTTTGCTCTGCCGTTGAACTAAAGAACTTCAACAGCCACACGCGACGAACCCGCTTGTACTGATATCCTTGTCAGGTCTGTTGTATCGCACTCAACACTGGAACCACTGGATCAGACAACACGAAAAGCGAAAGTGATCCCCGCTGTAACTATAATACGCCAAGATCCGTTCGTCGAGGCTTTCCGAAAACAAATAACCAGTTGCGGCTGAAGGCGCGTGGGTCTTATACTAGGTGTTGCTTTTTTGTTCAGGCCAGCCCGTTTGCCCCCCTGATCGTCGGAGTGTGTCTTTCTCTCTTTCGCCGACCAAAACGGGCGACGGCGGTGACGACGGTGCGACAAGCCGGTGGCAGACGACGTCGATAATGTTGTGGTCGGTGGTAGGGTACGCGAGGGGGTCTTGTGGAAAATTGCGCTGCCTTCACGCCCCGTCGAGCAGAGTTGCTAGGATCCGATTCGTTTTCTAAAGCATAAATTCATATGTTTTTATCTTATATTTATCTTAGCTTTATTTTAATTGATTTAAATATTAAGTTTAAGGTTTCTTTAGAAGACTGCGCACTAGAGTGATGCAAACTTTGAAATTATTGCTCCACAGTGCTCAAACGATTTCAAATCGGGTTCTGATCATCCTCCTAAAATTTGATCTCATTTAGCTAAAAGATAAAATTCAGATTTTTTTTCATCTGTGTGTCGATTTGGAACCGTTTAAGCATTGTGAAGCATCAGTCTACTGCACACGCTGTGTTTAAAGAAGGCTTTTATGAAAAGTGAATGTACCTGTCTAAATTTGTTGGGTTCTCGTAGTTTCATAATCTGTGTGGTGCTTAAAATTTCATCTGTGAAAATTTTATTTTACAAAAACAAAATTATTCCTTTAAAACAGATGCAGGATGGCCCAAGGTACAATTTTTCGATGAAATCTGGAGGATCACCCTTCATATGGTAGCGAAAGATGTTACAATATTTTTCGTATTACGGAATTTTTTTAAAACGTGGTTTAGTGCTACCTTTATGCATGTTGAGTTTTTTAATGTCCTATTTTCATAGTCGTTACTGAAAAAAATATTTCGTATGCATTGCAATTTATTGAAATCAACACTATTCTATTTTTTATACATTTATAGCGGTCCAAACTACATTAGAAAAACTTGTCATGGGATGCAAGATGTTTTTAATTTATCTTCAAAATTACACAATATTGAAGGGGCAAAAAGTAAGCCCTAATCAAAACCGTCACATGCTTTGCACTAAAAAACTATGCTCCTAAAACTACAACAACAAGATATAATAATTAATTTATAAATTTGATATTAAATGATTGTTTAAACATGTTTTTTTTGTTCCTTGTTATTTATGGTTTACCCCTCTCATCGTCCTATTTGAGTGATGTCGGACATAAAATGAAAATATCATTTGCATCAGCCTTGCTGGAAATGATTGTTTTGTTCGGCGCATAATGGTATTGATTCATCAAAAGTCAAAAATGGTTTTCAAAACATGACCGATTTAATTCCATGAAAAGATAGAAAATGTAATGATCCTCAGTTTTACGTTACGTTTCTACACATGTGGTTTCTATCTTTGGTCGTCAGTTATTTACATTGAAATATTACTGGTGTCAAATTCCCTACATTTAGGTTGAATCCAACATGGCCTTGTTGACTTTTTGGTTCAGAGTCCTATTATGAACCAATGGGAGAATAATTAAGTTGCTATTATATTTTCATGTTAGTTCCAAATGCGAGTTCAGTTATAGCACATAGTTATAACCAAGCAATAGCTCATTACAGCTAAAATTATATTCTTCGGAATTATGAAACTATGAGATATTTTTTGTTTGAAAGATCCAGGAAGAGAAGGTAATGTGTATGACACATAAAACCTGTCAATTTTGCTTGCAGAGCGTTTCAATAAGCGATTAGCCATAACGAGGGGCACACACTTTATCGCGATCGCTCATTACAGCTAAAATCGCTAATTTTGACCCTCTGAAAGTAAAACAAACTTTACCTTCTTTCCGTGCATTTTACATATAAAAAAAAAAATTATTATTAAATCTCATAGTCAATTTCGAAAAATAGCATTTGAAACACTGGTTATAGCCCCTGGCTATTAACAATTTTCTTGAAATATGGCTGTGATTTTTGTAAATATTAAAAAAATTCAAATGTCAATTTTTTAATTCTGACTTATTTAAAAAGTGATCAAATTAATAATTCAAAACTGATTTTTTTTTCAACAGATTTCAATTCCAATATTCAATACATTCTCGTTATCAATAATCAAAATGATTCAAATTTTCAACTAATTCAAAGTCCATTGGGAAAAAATCTTACCAGACACCAACAATAGAAACGTACTCTTCGCCGCAAGGTTATTCTGCATAAAACTTGCTGTCCATTTGTAGTATTGAATCGGTTGCAGGGCATAAGCACTAAAGACACTGTATATAGACTGGACAACGTTTGTTTTATGCAGCCAAACGAACTGTCAAAAAGTGTAACCAAACGGACTGTCATCCTTTGGTTTGCTTCAAAGGAGCAAGTATTGTGATCTAGTGTTGTTTTGACAAAAAGCAAAATATAAACAAAGAGGCGAACTCCTAGTAAAATTTTGTTTCTCTCAATGTAAGTTTTTCCAACATATTATTGGTACGCGGCTGGATTGGTGATAGTGAAAAGGTTTCTCTCTCTCTCAACAGGAGTACAATTTCAACATCCACTACGGTTTGCGTTTAGTCTACCCAGCTATATGTTTTAAAACAACATCCAGCCACTGACATTTAAATCTCTGCTCTCGATTCATCAATAAGTTTCTTGAATTGTTTTTTTCAATTCCCATGGGAAACGTTCCCAACCACCTGGCTAAATGAGGTCCATCTGCCAGAAGCAAACATTTTATGGGAGTGTCAACAGTACGGTAGGTATAATTTTAAATTAGTATGAGCCTCTATTTCATCTTTCACAATTTTCCAGCTGATGATGTACGACGACGACTGAAAAACGTACGGTAGAGACGACGACTGAAAAACAAGTGGGGGATACACAAGTCCCTGGCAAGGTGAAGGATAACCTTAGTTTCACGTACCCACTTGCAAATAGTAGATGTCGCCACATGACGTAAACAAAGGGATTATCCTTCACCGCCGCAATGGTATTTCTCTATGGGAAACTAACTTTTTGTTTCACGATGTGTGGATGTCAAACAGCAAGCAAGAATGCTATATGAAAAGAGCGAATTTATGATTTTCGTGGTGAAATGAAATAAATTCAAACGAATTGAAACCGATTGATGGTTTATTTTTTTATTAATATAATCAAATAGTAATAAAAATACTTTACTGTCTTGTATTGTATTATCCTCTTGAATATAACCAGCCTTGGGATACATAGCGGTATGATTAAAAAGAGTTTACTCTCCTGTGTTTCTTTTACGGGGTAAGTAAACTGCCTCTTGTTTTTCAGTGCAGTTGGTTTTTCTCTTCTTTTCCTTCAGTGGACTGTCGGGCCTCTTGGAAGTGTCTGCGTGTGTGTGTGCTACTTCAGTTGAGCGGAAAAAAGGATTCGTTACAGCTTCATTCCAATCATGTCTCTACTTGTTTCCGGATGCAAAGTTCGATTGTGCAATCACAGAATTCGAGTGCATTCAATTGGAAGTAAACGTGACATGTTGAATAGATTCGTTCAGTTTCGTTTATCTAGAACGTCATTTATTTTGCATTTCATTTTGAGACCTTGTTTTTATTTCAAAATACTAATTTTATAAGTAGTTTAAGATTATATCAAGTGTAAATATGATTTAAAAATAGTTCTGGTGCACAAATGGTTTAATAGTAGATTAAGTGTTGAGAAAAAAGAAGTTAATTTGTATATAACCATATCAGTGTAAATATAAGACAAAGAATATAAGTTTTTAAACATCTTCGAAACTGTGAAACTTTAATTTGAAAATGCGTTGTGTGATCGAGCAATGTTTACGAAACCTCAGTGTTTCGTTGAATGTGAGAAGTCATAGGTAAGAAATTACTAAACAAATTTAAATCAAGTCTACCTCAAATATGAAGTTTAAAAATTATCCAGATTTCCAACAAGTACACATGAAAGAAAAAAAATGGATTCGATCAATTCTTATACTTACGGGACAGCAAATAGATGCTAAAACTTCAATAAAATCTCGGATTTGTGGTAATCATTTTGCGGAAAACGATTACAAAATCAGCGGGAACAAACAAATTTTACTTAAAAATACTGTACCAGTTATCTTCGACAAAACAACAACGGAAGAAACGTATGTTATTACCTATTAAATTTAAATGAAAATTTAATTTAAATTTTTGTTACAGTCAAAATTTTGAATTTATTTGCTTGGATGACGAATCTTCGGTTGATTCACTTGATTCAAGTGTGATGAGGTGAGAATAAATTTTTTTTGTTGAAATTTCATGCAAAGTTTGTGTTAATCGTCTTAATGAACTTAATTTAGGAAAAAGCTAAATAAAGCTGGACACAAGAAACTGGATATTACACCTCAAGAAGCGTGTCAAGCTTATCCCCGTCTCCTTAAAGCTAACGAGAAACTAAAGAAATCGAAGAACACCTACAAGCAGAGATGTAGACGTCTACATAAACAAGTTAGTACCTTAGAACAAGCGCTTCTAGAGGCTCAAAACAGGAATATGGTTTCAAAATGTACAGCGGATCATTTGAAAGTACTTTAATTAACTAACAATAATTTTGACTGTTTATAACGATTAAACCTTTGTGCAGGTGCATTCTGAAAATCATTCGTTATTGGAGGAGCTGAAGTTCACTCAAGGGCAAGGTCGAGAGTATAGTGAAGAATTAAGATGCTTCGCTGTAACATTGAATTATTATTCCCCACGAGCGTATCAGTTCGTCAGGCAATCCTTTGAAAATCGTTTGCCTCATCCAAGGACCATTACAAGATGGTATCATTCTATTGATGGTGAGCCAGGCAGCACGTCAGAATCAATGGCTGCATTGCAGATATTAGCTCACGAACAAAAAGCAACAGGTGAACGTACATTGGTCTGCCTTATGATGGACGAGGTTTCCATAAGACGGCAAATTGAGTGGAATCACCGGACGAAGAAGTTTGAAGGAACTGTCCAGTTTGCTGGGTATCTACCAGAAGGGACAGACGAGTTACCAATGCCAAAGGATGCAATCGTATTCATGGTTACT